TGTGTGTGTGTAGGCTTTTTGCTATTTCTGTTGTTGAGGTCCAGCTTTATTCCATGGTGACCAGACAGGATACAAGGGATTATTTCAATCTTCTTGTATCTGTTGAGGCTCGCTTTGTGACCAACTGTATGGTCTATTTTGGAGAAGGTTCCATGAGGTGCTGAGAAGAAGGTAAATTCTTTTGTGTTTGGGTGTAAGGTTCTGTAGAGGTCTGTTAGGTCCATTTGATTCATGACCTCTGTTAGAGACATTGTTTCTTTGTTTAATTTCTGCTTTGTTGCCCAGTCCTTTGTTGAGAGTGGGGTGTTGAAGTCTCCCATTATTAATGTGTGGGGATTTATGTGTGGTTTAAGTTTTATTAATGTTTCTTTTACAAATGTGGGTGCCCTTGTATTTGGGGCATAGATGTTCAGGATTGTGATGTCTTCCTGGTGGAATTTTCCCTTGATGAGTATGAAGTGTCCTTCCCCATCTCTTTTTGATTAATTTTAGTTGAAAGTCTATTTTATCAGATATTAGAATGGCTACTCCCGCTTGTTTCTTGGGTCCACTTGCTTGGAAAGCTGTCTTCCAACCCTTTACCCTCAGGTAATGTCTATCTTTGTGACTTAGGTGTGTTTCTTGTATGCAACAGATTGCTGGGTTTTGTTTACGCATCCATTCTGTTAGTCTGTGTCTTTTTATTGGAGAGTTGAGTCCATTATGTTGAGATTAATGACCAGTGGCTGTCAGATCCTTTGATTTTGAGGTTGGCTGTGGTCATAAGTTTGTGTGCTTGGTTGCTTTTTGTTTTACTGTAGTGAGGTTAGTTATTTCCTGTGTGTTCTTGAAAGTAGCTAGTTTTCTTGGGTTGTATTTTCCCTTCTAGTGTCTTCTGTAATGCTGGATTTGTGTGTAGGTATTGTTGAAATTTGTTTTTGTCATTGAATATTTTGTTTTCTCCGTCTATGAGGACTGAGAGTTTTGCTGGGTATAGTAGCCTGGGCTGACATCTGTGTTCTCTTAGGGTCTGCATGATATCCATCCAGGCCCTTCTGGCTTTCATAGTCTCTGTTGAAAAGTCAGTTGTGATTCTAATGGGTTTGCCATTATATGTTACTTGGTTTTTTCCCCTCGCAGCTTTTAGTATTTTTTCTTTGTTCTGTATACTTACTGTTTTGATTATTATGTGGCGGGAGGATTTTCTTTTCTGGTCTAATTTATTGGGTGTTCTGTAGGCCTCATGTATTCTTATTGGCCTCTCCTTTAAGTTGGGGAAATTTTCTTCAATGATTTTGTTGAAAATATTTTCTGGGCCTTGCAGCAGGGAATCTTCTTTTTCCTCTCTTCCTATTTTTCTTGGGTTTTGTCTTTTTATGTTGTCTTGAATTTCTTGAATGGTCTGTGTCAGGAATTTTTTAGATTTAACATTTTTTTTGACAGATACATCGATTTATTCCATTGTATCTTCCACACCTGAGATTCTTTCTTCCATCTCTTGTAGTCTATTGGTTATGCTAACCTCTATAGTTCCTGTTTTCTTCCCTAAGTTCTTTCTCTCCTCAATTTCCTCCATTTGTGTTTTCTTTAATTTTTCTAATTCTATCCTCAGATCTTGAGCCGTTTTGTTGATTTCCTTCATCTGTCTGACTCTATTTTCCTGTTTTTCTATCAATTCCTTCACCTGTTTGTTTGAACAATCCTCTGTTTCTTTTATTTCATTCAGTGATTTAAGCATTTCCTCCCTAAAGGCCACAAACTGTTTGGCTTCAACTTCCTCTATTTCTTTACGGATGGCCATAATCTGTTTGAGTTTATCTCCCTCTAGGTCTTTTCGTATTTTATTTGTTTCCTCTGTTATCCTCTTCAGGAGCATAGATGTTAGGTCATCTTCTTGAATTTCAATTATGCTGGGGTGTCCAGGGCTACTTGCCCCTGGATAACTGGGTTCTGGAGATACCATGTTGCTCTAGCTTTTGCTGGTTGAGCTTTTATGCTGGCCTCTACCCATTGGGCTATCTTAGGTGTTTGGGGTTAGTTTCTGGTGGTTCCTGGAATCCTGTGGTAGAGAGAATCCCCTTGGCAGGAAGATGGTTTTTCCTGAAGGAAGCCTTCTTAGCTTTTTGGTATAGTCAGTGTATGGCTGGTGTTTTTCAGGAGTTGCCACAGCTCATGTCAGGCATAGAGACCTGAGTGGTAACTGTGGTCCTTGTTAGTCGAGAGGGCTTTCCTCTCACCCAGAGAAGTCCTGAAGACAGCTGCCCTGCTTCTGCGTTTCTTGCTGTAAATTTAGTGAGCTGCTACTGTAACCTGTGTGTCCCGTGGTTTGGCCGGTTTTGTTAGGGATAACTGGTCTCTCCTTGGAGCAGTATCTGTGGGTTGATCTCGGGGATTCTGGGCTTTTGTAGGTCTGAGGTTGGGGCCCTGTGCCCTAGTACCCAAGCGGTAATCTGTGGTGGGTGGGTACCGCTCTCCTGGTAACAGCAGGCTATCTGGTGCAACAGGTCCCTGGGTTGGGCTGGTCTGCGGGGCCTTTTCCAGGGATATACTGGGTGGCCTAAGTCAGTCCCCTTTGCTTCGTTCCCTGTGAGGATTTCTCCGGACAGGGACTCTCAGTCTCTGGTGCCCTGGGGCGCACAGCTCTGTCTGTTATGGAGAGCTGCATGTGCAGCAACTGTCTGTGCCCGCAGTTGGAGCCCAGTTCAGTGATGGCTGGCTCATACCCACTGGTCTGTGGGACTTTTTCCAGGGAAAGACTGGGTGACCCAAGTCAGTACCATTTCCTTCCTTCCCTGTGGGGTTTTCTCAAAACTGGGACTGCCAGTCTCTGGTGTTTTTTGTGCCCACCCATCAGCCTGGGAAGGTGATCAGGACATGCAGGCATGTGGCTCTGGTCTGGGGACCTAGTGCCTGCGAGACCTGGGATCTCTTCCGGGTTCTGGCTAGGGGACCTGAGCGTGGACCTGACTGATTCCCATGCCGTTGGGGTTTCCTCTCACCTGGGAAACATGATCGCTATTGTTTTAGGGCCCAGAGTTCAATCTCTTGGTCGCTGTATGGAAAATATTGTCCTGCTTCTCAGACGCTGTGTTCTCCTAGAGCCGCCATCTTGTCCCGCCCCTCTCCTTTTGTTTCTTAAATGATGGTTTTGGTACTAAAGTTTAAATTTTAATGTGGAAATATGCATTGATGTTTTGTGATTTATAATTTTCATGAAACACTTTTCTTTACAACACTTGCCTTAGCACATGTAAGTCCCTGGGTTCAATTCTCAGCACCAGGAAGGAAAAAAAAAAAAGAAAAAGAACCCTTTTTCTATCTTGAAATAATAAAAATCTGTCTCATTCTGAAAATTTTCTTTTATTTCTGAAAATTTTTCTGATATCTTTTACCCACAGTGAAAGGTGGTGGAGCAATAATTAGAAAACAATGGCCTAGTGGAAAAATGTGACCTAGTGGGTAAAAGAAAGTAACAAATGCAAAACATGAAGAGGTCACTGTTCCTGATTAGCAAACTGTTAAGATAGCTGTAATAAAAGTACAACACTGATGCACACCTTTAATCCCAGGATTTAGGAGACAGAGGCAGGTGGATCTTTGGGGATTAGGAGCCATTCTGGTCTGCATATTGAATTCCAGAACAGCCCAGGCTACATAGAGAGACTCTGTCTCAAAACAAACAAACAAAATGAAAAAAAGAAAGAAAGAAAAAAAAAAAAAGCAAGTGCAATAAATGGGCTATTTTGTAGAAAATAAGCATCTAATTTCAAAATTAATATGGGAATTCAAAGAGGCAAAACATCCAGGACTATCTTAAAGAGCAGAAAGGGTTAGGATTTGCCATACCAGATATAAAACATAATCAGAAAGCTTTAAAAATGTAGTCAGTGTGACCCTGGAAAACAAATGTGTAGACAGACACAGATAAAATAGGATTAAGAAGGGTGGGGAGAAGGCTTGGACCATAAAGTGCTGCAGCGCAGCACGAAGACACAAGTTCAGATCCGAGCACCCAGGGTAGGAAGTTGAATGAAACTCTAGTGCAGGCTTTGGGACAGGTGGATCCCTGGAACTCACTGGTCAGTCCAGACACCCGATGAGTGTTAGGTTCAGTGAGAGACCATGTCTCAAAAATAAAAGGTGGAGTGTGATTGGGGACCATACCACCATCTACCTCTGGCCGACACACACACACACACACACACACACACACACACACACACACACACA